AGTTTTGCTATTTGTCCATTTATCACCTTCTTTATGCTTTCTTGCCCCTCTTAACTTCCACTAAGAAATTTAAAGTCGATATAAGTTAAAACCACCTGATAGAGGTAGATGTCTCAATTTTATATTTAATCTGGTTAAAACCACTCTGAGATTTTATTTTTTTACAATTAAAATAATTCAAAGGGTATGCATAAGAAAAGTACCTCAGCCTTTGAAAATCCATGCTCTTTTAATAAACAAATTTGCATACCCATTCTGTCCTTTTGTTATGAAAAATCTGTTGCATTTTAATTTTTTTTTTTTTTTAAACATCTATCCTGGTTAAGAATCATGCACAGAGATTTCTCTCAAACGGATAAAACAAGCTGGCCCTTGGGCAGCTCCTGAAGAGTTTAGTGTTGGAATGAATGATAGCAGCAAACTGTCAGCTTTTCAAAGATCCTACCTAATCCAGTTCCCAGGGTAGGAGGTCAGAAAGAAAAAAAATTCCGTGTTTCAAACAGATGCAAAAAGTCCTTCCCACCCAACACTTGAGTCCTAAATGCAGTCTGTGCAACAGCACATACTTTGGGCTATGTTCACACAGTAAACCATAGAAACACACTGGCTCTGATGGCTACCTGGACCAGACAGGCTGATCCAGTGTTTACTTAACATAGTCACCGGTGGTGTCTTCCTTCAGGACTGTAGCGATGCTTACCGTGCGCCCACAATCCAGGAAGGACATGCCCAATGCAATCAAACATTGCCAAATCTGAAAGACAAAATATAGTCATCGCTCGCCAACCTCTCTGAAGATCCAGCCCTCTTGCCCACCATGACTGCTCACACTACACTGCTCAGATGCAAACCTTTCTTCCTTGAACATCCAGCTTTGCCCATCTTCTGTCACTATCACAAGGTTGCACAAGTCATTCTCCCAACCCACAAACCCTTCAAAACATCCTGGAATCTGCCTACTTTGGCGAAGTTTTTCCATACTAGTTTCAATACTAAGTTCCCTCTGTTCCTACCGCTTCATGTTTGTCGTTTATTTCTCCTACCGGACTGGGAGTTCCCTGAAGACCACTTTTCTTCATTCCTACTCCATTCCTCATGATGAGGGGAATGACTGACAGACTAATACAACTGAAGAATCTCCTGAGCTGCTCTAGAAGTACATGTTTTGGAGCTAAACAACAGTAACCCACTCCAGAATCAGCCCTCAGCCTTAAAAATGGGTATTCAGCAATCTCAACAGTCTCAGGCTGACTGAGGACAATTCAGCAGCTTCATAACCAATTTGCATGAAGGAAGGATTCCCTTAACTTCTACAGTGACTTTTTAAAACAATTCCTTCAAGGACACTTTCAGTTACTTGGGTTTCCTTGGAGTAAGTCCCCTAGATAATAGGGTCAGCAATAATCTTAGTGTGCCCAAGGTTTACTGGGGAGGAAAAGGAAAAGGATGTTTTAATCCATGACACAGTTTTTCAGTATTCACTAAAGTGACTTTCTCAGTCAAATACCTAGCCTGTGGCACACACTGGCATGGGGACTAGGTAAATGTTATAAAAATCAGCAGTGGGTTTCCAGCCTCCATCCTTAACCATTCTTAGCAGCAAATATGGTATAAATTCTGCAGTCCCTAATGCTTCACCCTTCTGTTTTTCAGAGAAATCTGCATAGAACAGGGAGGTACATTTGTTGTCACTATAGCCATTTTTTATTAATGTCAGTAATGTTACAGACGATTTGGAAAATAGAGAAAAGAATATATCCATAATCCTACCATGCTAAGATAACTACTATTACCATTTTTACATAATTTATTCTAGACTTTTGACAAATTTTTGATTACCTGGGTATACATAATTCTACATTCCTTTTCTTTGTAGTTAATGGTTTTATAACTCTCATTTTTTAACAACTCTAGAATAATTCAGTGCGAGAATATCATTTTACTTATTTCCTTATTGGGCAGCTATTAAGTGGCAGAGCTGAACAGCGCTGTGAACCCACGAGTCCCAGCCCAAAGCTCTAAAACCCAACTACACAGCCCCATTCTCCAGCCCCATCCTGTACCACCCTCTACTTTCTATCCTGATGCTCTTCTTTTAGTTCCTACACTCTCTTGTGAGAATGGAAACTAGACGTAAGTGAGAGAAACAGAAAAATGATAGCTCTTAGGAACCAAATTTTATGGTTAAAAATAGTGTTTAACCCCCCAAAAAATGTATGTATAGTTTAACCATGGCTGATTTTACAAGTTCATGTACATTATCTCAGTAACCTGGATAGATTGCTAGGTGCTCTTGTGGGCCCTTTCATTTTTGCATGTTAGCAGCCCCACCTCCACCATCCCTAACCTCTATGCCCCTGCCCCCTCCCGATTGGACTTACCAAGTAGAACACAAAGCTCAGATAAGCCACACTGACCACCGCAGCCACCACATACAATATCATGTGCCCTAGTTCTTGGACATAAACCACGACAAAGTACATGTTGATGGAGCAGATGATAAGGACCAAGATCCCGCCTGCGATCCTCCAGCCTCTGTAAAAGAATCACCAAGGTCACTGTGGAACAGCCCAAACTGCCCACAAACAGAAAAGGACACTGCATCTTACAGGGTTGGCAGGACAGCAGTAAGGAGCACATCAACGTGAGCTGAAAAATGGTTCTTAGTATTTCCAATATTTGGTTAAATGAGCCAAAGTTAGACACTGATAGGGAGAAAGCGGGGGAAAATACTATCAAATAACCCCTATTATTTAAGTTTCCAGAAATGCAACAAGTCATGAGAGTCCCCAGAGATGCACCAAGTCATTTCAAATACCCCCACACTCTTTAAAGATGTATATAAAAGGTACTAGTGTGTGCCTTTATCATTCAGATCATTTAACATGGAATTAAGGTGCTTTAAACTTCAGTGGCTGAATGTGTAGAGTTAAAGCCCTAAAAGCTGAAGTTTCTGCCCCAGAAAAGAAAAATGTGCTTGCCCTCCTTTACTACATTCAGTCTCCATTTTCTAAGCCAAAGATTGAAGGGGCAGCTCTAGCAACCACCTCTCAAACCCCTATGACTCACTTCCTGACTGGCCTATTTAATGAAGGCACCTGCCCCTCACCACCCCCACCATCTTTGGGGAACTGAGAGGAGTAACTCACATTCCATTGGCAAAGTCACTCATTATCGGCCGCAAGCTTGTGAACGTGAGGATGGGTATGAGTGCAAAGGGAAGCTGGAAAAGAAAGAACTAAGATCAGATGGGGCAACGGGGAACCCTCCCATCACCCCAGAGAGCAGCACAGTCGGTGAAAGGGAAACAGATCCTACCTCATCTACTCCATGAAAAATTATTCCTATCATCCCAAATGCTCAGGCATTATGTAGAAATCTGCAGAGCTGTCATTAACCTAGCATCAATTANCATCAGGTTACTAAGGGTCTAATTGATTAAAATCGAAGTGAAATGTAACTGGCCATAGTCAAGCACCACTTTAAAAGGCAAGTCAATTTGACCAGTTCATTCTGGAAGAGAGCATAAATCCCTTTCTTTTCTCACTTGTAATCCAGACAAAACAAATATCTGATTTATCTGAATCATGTTTTAAAAAAATACAAAAAGAACAATTTTTATAACCTTAAAACTCTACCCAAACTGGTATGTTCAGGTTTATATAATAAATATATACACATATATATTTTTTAAATTCCAGAAGTTAAGACACAAGCCCATAGGGGTGTGTGTGGCCATCATAGGCCAATCAATTAACTCTGGCTGTTATAGGACTGTTGTGAGCTGGGTGGGTCTTTGACCTACACCTAAAGCTGTCAGCTTTTAACACCCTTCCCATGAGGAAATCTTTGCCTTTTGTTCAAAACATTTGAACAAAACTCACCTCTGAACTAACAGAGCTATGTTAACAGGACACTGGCACAAAAGGATTAAGAGAACGTGGTTCTTATAGTCAGTCTGTCAGGCTGTCAGTCAACTAGACACAAGTGAGTCAGCATCCATGGTGTTCAGAAGGTAGAGTTCAGGCTGAGCTGTCAATCCCAGATGGTACTAAGGACAAAAAGATGGAAAAGGGTTAGACTGATTTGCAAGTACTTAAATATCGAAATTGGCACTTAAGCACCTATAAATAGCATATCAATATAGGCCTTTTTTTCAGTACTGCTACATTGATTTTGATTTCAGCAAAGAAATGGCTTACAGATACATAATTTATGGTATATAAAATAATAGCTAGGAGTTGGAATAGTTAAGGATTTAGATAGAGCCGGATCCTTCAGCCCAATCTGCACTTTGACTATTCTTGTGACACACTGCCTCAGGATGGGTGCTTCCGATCAGAATTTTACGGGCAAATGCACTGAGTGCTTTTGTATTTTAGTACTGTGGTATGTTAGAAATCAAATTTCAGATGGTCTACATCCTGAGCCTCATTACCCTTTGGCACCTGAGTCATTTTTCATTAAAAACAAACCAAAAAAGTGGCATGTGCTCAGAGGGAGATGACCTACGGGTTCCAAATGTTAGACTGAATCAGAATCACTTCAGCTGCTTTTAAAACATATTGCAAACCCTACTGCTGGGGACCTGAATCCAGATGGTTTGTGTTGGGACCTGTGATGCTGTATTTAACTTTTTCTCTCCTCTGCGTACTCTGTGAGACAATCACTGAGTCTCATTTTAGTCCTACTGTTGTTATTCCTTAAGGCTCTAGAAATATTACTGCTTGTTGGCACCAACAGCCTGTGAGTGAATGCAAAATGCAGACTGTAAATCCATAGGAAGAAAATAGTTCTATTATAGTATATTGGAAAAGGCACTGGAGTTGGGTTCAAGCTCCAACTCTGCCATTTCTTATGACCTTGAGCAAGTCATGTGTCCTTTTGAGCCTTATCCTACTTATTTGTAAATGGGAATAAATGCTACCTTTGCAAATTCCAAGTACAGTAATACACTATCTCATGTTAGTGTTCAATAAATATTATTACAAATTGCCCTGAATACCTCACAGGCTTATGACTGTAAAGGCAAGTTCAAATGGAGCCCAAGATAAAACTATTCTCAACTAATGGGCTAGGATATTACTGAGTCACACTGGCCTTCGTGCAGGAAAAAAACAGCTCTTCAAAGACTTCAGCTTGCTTATCCACTTGATGGTTTTACATCTCAGGTTTAGTAACCAAGGGCAATGGTAAGATACAGACAATTCATTGAAGCCTTTTCTCTAGTGAGCTAAGGTGGTGGACTTCCTCATTATGTCATANACCATCCCATGCGGGAGTCGAATAGGCAACCTTGTTGTTAGGAGCACGTGCTCTCATCAGCTGAACCATCCTGCCACCTGTTAGCAGCTCAGCTCGGGTGCAGCTCACTGGCCCATGTGGGAATCAAACCTGCGACCCTGCTACTCAGAGCTCGGGCTCTTAACCAACTGAGCCACTTGGCCGGCCCAGAACAATATACTTTCAACACAAGTTTAGGAACTGCTGCTACCATTCTTTTTTTTTTTAAGCTGATCCTCTGTTCCTTCCTATGTAGTCTGAAACGCTGTCTAGTCTCTGGACTTCTGAAATAAGTGACACTGCAAAGAAGATATGCTTAGCTCTGAAGTGAATTTACAGAAAAGACCAGATACTATGCCAAGAACATTGATTCGGGTCAAAGAACACAAATCTGAATAGGCTTACCCCTTTGTAGATGTCCACAGCCAATGTTGAGTTATCCTCAGGAAAAATGCCTGCATGGGGGCTGCTGCTATTTCTACAGACTTCAATCTGGAACACAAAGCAGTTTAGGAGCAACTTTTAATTCCAAAGCAAGGACCAAAGAAGAACTCCCCTATCACACACAAGTCATCTATGAGACATAGCCTAGAGGTAAGACACTGGATACAGGTTGTGATAGGGACAGAGACTGGCAGCAATTATCACTTGTGCTCTTCCTCCACAATCTTTCTACACCCCCATCAAAAACATTTACTGAGTTAGTGTGCGCATTGTTGGATCATTTTAAATAACGACAGGAAGAGACACCCTTAAGAAGGCTTCAATAATGAGAGGACACCCAGAATAGAGTCCTTAGTTAAAGCAGAGCCAGGAGTCTGAGGTCCTATGGATGGGAAACAAAGTGGTGATCAGAACTAGATAGGCAATCAGGAATTGAGAAGACAGAGAATTCAAAATGACCAACAGTCTGTCCTAGCAATAGTTTTTGTACTGTTTGTGGACTCCTCCCAGTCTGTCCTCATCGCCAAATGGCAGAACTGGCAAGCAGGCTGGCAGGTGATAAACAGGAAACAAAAGGGTCCAACAGTGTAAAGACACTAACAAAACAGCATGAGGTAATCTTTAGTCTGAGGCAGTCTCCCTTGTCAGCCAAAAGCTGGGGAAAAAGGGTCTGGGCTTGGTCAGCTGCCAGACTGTACCCTGACTAGTGCAGTGATTTAGGCAGCAGCACAGAGGCTAGAGATCTCTTTCCCCTGAGCTCCAAGTCACTGTCATATCCAGCCTTCACTTCACCCTCACATTCACTACCACTCATGACCCTGGCTTACTTACCACCTGCTGGTTGGTTTTCCCAAAAAATGCTTCAGCAAAGACAGAGACGACAAAGACATTGATGATGAAGGAAACAAACAGGGCAATGCAGGATTCAATGAAAAAGTACTTATTAGCTTCTCGAACTTCCTGCTTCTTGGCTCGGTTTACCTGTCTGGACTGGGGAGATAAAAGCAGCAGTCATTTTTTTTACTATTTGGAACAAATTTCCTTGTAATAGTTCAGAGGTTTGGACAGTTGAAAGATTTAGAGGGCAAACAATTGACCAGGTGAAATGTGAGAGAACTCACTTACATTCTCATTCATTAAGTGAGTAAGAACTTCATGACCCTTTGACAACATTGCACATTCCCCAAACAGGAAATGGTGACTAAGTGACTACTGAGCTCTCAGTTATTGTGGCTGGAAAAACTGCTGACCTACAAAAGCAAGGTGATTTCAGTCCTAAGGGGTATATAACCTTAATTACAAAGGTCTCTGAAATCTCCCAGCAAACTATTGTTAGACTGGCTAGTAAAAGGTTGGTTGGGCTCTTTACTCATGATCTCCTCAAAGCCACCCAGGGTCTTGAGGTTAAAACATAAAAAGACTTGACGCACGCTCAGACCTTTTATGAAGAACTTTAGTCCCAGTTTCTCTATGGGGTCAGTTATCTCTGGTCATAAAACAGAGTCCAAGTGTGTGGAGTTTATAAACGTCCAACCATGCCAAAGTACCTTGCTACTTTAGGGCTCTAACAGTAATAAACTAAGTATGTGTCCCTTGCAGCTAAAAGAAAAGATCCCATGAACTATCCAAGAGGCCACCGAGATAAGGGCCTTCTCACCTTGACTAAGGCAGAATGCAGGTACATGTTGTGTGGCATGATGACAGCTCCCACGATGCCCACAGCCTGCTGGATCTGTGGGGTGCCACAGCCTGAACAGGATGGCAGGAACATGCCCTTGAGTACCTCGATCTGGTTGGGTCTCACTGTAACATACTACATACCAACATAACAACGATTAGCCTTTACTGGAATCTGAGACTGAGGGAATACAGAGTATTAGAAAACACTCAGCATCCTTTACTCCTTTCCTTACGACCTCTTCTTCTTCAACCACTACCTAGGATAATGAGGAATACAGAGCCATCCAAAACCAAGTAGCATAAGGGGCTTGCTGCCAGATGTCAGAGAACTCAGGACTGGGGTATCTGGATATTTTATATCATATTTTAGATACACAAAATAGATGTATGGAAAGTTCTAAAGAAATAAAATGGCTGTTAAGGGCCTTATCAATATTAGCTTTAAAATAACTCCTATGAGACAGACCCAAGAATATAGAGTCAATTCTTAACTATCCACACTTATCATGCATCTGTTCACCTAAGTTCATCTAAAAATCACTATCTGCCACTAGCATAAGCTGATTCATGCATAAACATTTTTCATACATACTTTTTCCAGGTTCAGCATTTCTCTTGGAAGCCCTAGACCAAACTGCATAATCTACTCATAGATTAGATATATCTTTAAAAGTCTAGCCAGGGCAATAAACAGAAATCATTTTATAACAATTGGACATAGAAAGGTGCTATTATTGCATATAATGGTACTGATTTCTAGGGGTGCCTGGGTTGGGACACAAACCAGGAAACATACACTATATTCCTTATAGTTCATTAACTACTGCAATACAGAGCAAGTTCAAGCTACAGTTGGTATAAATCAGAATGAGCAAAAATAGAACCCCTCTAAGTTAAAGCCAAGAATCACCTCCACAAACCCCCTGACCCTCTCCAAAGCTGTTCTGTTGTCAAGATGGCCAATTTGGAACCAGGGAGTTTAGTCTGGAAAGTCCTAGGAAGTCTAGTTATTTTTGACATGAGTCCCTGTAGGCCTTCCTANGCCGGCCCCAGTATGGGAGTTTTTAACACTGTGAAAATCTACACACGTAGTATTAGACAATGTCATTTAATTGGGAAGAAATTTTCCATCGTTGCAAGTCATAAATGTAACTTCTAAAAGGAAACTAGTAGTTTTTATATGGGCTTCTAAATAGTTGTGACTGAGATTTGACTGGGTCCACTCAGACTCAGGGCAAAGGTAAATGTCACTATACCGTTTTACAAAGAATTTTTTGGTCAATTTAGCCTTTGCCTGCTGTCGCCAGACCTACTGCAGCTTAAGATGTCAGTCCCCGATATCTCCACAGGGAATGATGGCAGGGGAAAGGGGTGCATATGAGGAGAGTCAGTTAGGGAAATTTGTCTTTCATGATCCTGTCTATATTACTTGAGGGGCTAAGATAAAGGTATTGTCAGTGAAACAGTAGTTTACCCTTAATGCCTTACAGACACTCTATCCAGTCTGCACTTTTAATTGTGTGCAAAATATCAGCAATAATGCTTTTAGGTGCTCAGACGAACAGAGAACATCAATCCACCAGGACTCAGAAGGAAAGCCCCCAACATAAGAAGTCATTCAGTGCCATTGCCATTACTGTTGTTACCAAGTCAAAAGCTATAAAAGACTTGATTATTTATCTCCACCAGGTAAGTGTGATTTGATTTGAGATAATCACATAGTCTCAGGTTCCGGGTGTAAAAATGTCGCCAGTGGCTGAAGAGCAGCAGCTTCAAGCTGAAGGGACCCATTTCCTCTGACTCCAGAGCTTCACCATCTGGTCTCAAAGTTTTTCCCTCTGAGGGAATGGCTGAAGAGAGGCAGCCCAGTGCAACCTTGCTGAGAGACAGACCACTTTGCAGCCACAGTGGTACCTAATGGCTTGCTGAGACAGCTTTGTGATCAGGTAGGTCCTCAGCTCCTGAGGCTGCCTTGCAAGTCGTCTTGGGCGTACTTCAGAAAAACATGATGATTCTGGTAGGAGGTGGCTTTTAGGAACAGAAGAGATGGCTCCTCTTCTCCTTTCAAGTCTTTTCCCCTCACCCCAAAGTCTCGTGAGAACATCAGTTTATAAATGCTACCATCTTTTCTATCACCGCCCTCCTGGAGGAGGAAGGTGAAGATTTTACAGCTCTATGTGTTTGACAGCAAATATGAGGAAAGCTCTGTGTATCAACATGAAAGAAATGAAAATCGGAACACCCAAGATAATCCTGGTAAGCTTTCAATCTCTGAGGAAAATCTTCGAAGTGATTTTCAAGGTTAGTAACCATCACCCACAGGCTGAGTTTTGCTATTTGTCCATTTATCACCTTCTTTATGCTTTCTTGCCCCTCTTAACTTCCACTAAGAAATTTAAAGTCGATATAAGTTAAAACCACCTGATAGAGGTAGATGTCTCAACTTTATATTTAATCTGGTTAAAACCACTCTGAGATTTTATTTTTTTACAATTAAAATAATTCAAAGGGTATGCATAAGAAAAGTACCTCAGCCTTTGAAAATCCATGCTCTTTTAATAAACAAATTTGCATACCCATTCTGTCCTTTTGTTATGAAAAATCTGTTGCATTTTAATTTTTTTTTTTTTTAAACATCTATCCTGGTTAAGAATCATGCACAGAGATTTCTCTCAAACGGATAAAACAAGCTGGCCCTTGGGCAGCTCCTGAAGAGTTTAGTGTTGGAATGAATGATAGCAGCAAACTGTCAGCTTTTCAAAGATCCTACCTAATCCAGTTCCCAGGGTAGGAGGTCAGAAAGAAAAAAAATTCCGTGTTTCAAACAGATGCAAAAAGTCCTTCCCACCCAACACTTGAGTCCTAAATGCAGTCTGTGCAACAGCACATACTTTGGGCTATGTTCACACAGTAAACCATAGAAACACACTGGCTCTGATGGCTACCTGGACCAGACAGGCTGATCCAGTGTTTACTTAACATAGTCACCGGTGGTGTCTTCCTTCAGGACTGTAGCGATGCTTACCGTGCGCCCACAATCCAGGAAGGACATGCCCAATGCAATCAAACATTGCCAAATCTGAAAGACAAAATATAGTCATCGCTCGCCAACCTCTCTGAAGATCCAGCCCTCTTGCCCACCATGACTGCTCACACTACACTGCTCAGATGCAAACCTTTCTTCCTTGAACATCCAGCTTTGCCCATCTTCTGTCACTATCACAAGGTTGCACAAGTCATTCTCCCAACCCACAAACCCTTCAAAACATCCTGGAATCTGCCTACTTTGGNTTTTAAAAAGCTCATAAACAGCCTGTAACACTTACCTCATATCCAAATGTGAGGGCCATAATAGTGATGAGAAAGCCAAAAAATGCCTCTAGCTTCCGCAAGCCTAAAGGGGAAAGGGCAGCAGTGAGCTCACAGAAGACAGACTTCCCGGTCAGCCACATGATGGAAAGGTAGTCTTTGATTGACCCCTCCATTCTTACTCTACTTACCATATTTGTCCAAAAAGAGAAATACAAAGGTATCTACAATGGTGATGAGAACGCCACCCCACAGAGGAACCCTAGGTCAGAGATAAGAAATGGAGATTAAAAGAAAGAAAGGAAATACTGAGAAGCACTTTCTTCCCAACAGCCCTCCATATATACCTCTGGAGAAGCGAGGACTTGGGGAAGATGGGACAGTGGCAGAAAGCCAGGCCTGAAGTACTTTAGGATCACACGACCAACTGAATTATATTCATTCAAACTTTGATGGTCTACTATGTCAGACATTTAGGATACAAAGCTGAAAAGTATGGGTCTTACCCCTCAATGGGCTCACTGTCTAGTGGGGATAAACTGACTTACAAATAAGTAATTGTAATATACACTAATACACAAATAAAATACATGCTGTAATAATAGAGGTATGTATAACCCAACATGAGAACGTGGAAGATACAGAGCCTGCATCTGCCAGGAGAGAGAAAGGTGGTTGCAGGAAGGTGCCATAGAAAATATAATAAACTTGAGTTGAATCTTGAAAACTGAAAATGAGTTAGGTTTTTGTTTTTACATTTGCTTTGAAAATTAGCAAAACATTGATTACTTTCTAGAGGAAAAACCTCCTCACCGTCCTACAGTCAGGAGATTGATGGCAATGGCTGAACCAATAACTTCCTGCATATCTGAGCCAATGATAGCCAACTCCACCATCAGCCATAGGATAATTCGTGGGACCTAAACACCAAAGAAAGAAAGAGCTGGTTTTAATTAATCATGTCAAAGAACTTCCCCATAGTTTAGAATTCACATTTTGGAATTGACCCATAAACAGTCCTTGACAAGCCTTCAGTCTAGAATGAAGAACCAGAAGTTGGCTCCACTTGACCCATCATTGCACTGTGGCTTCTAGCTGAACTAAGCCAGGGTGCTTCTATGTGGCAGAGCCCGTGAGCCAAGTTCAGGGCAACAGCTGATCCTAAGTTTTTCCCTTTCCCTTCCATTCCAGAGAGAAATGGAATTCCCACTCATTAATTTCCACTTAATTCCCCGGCCTAAAAACATCCCTAAAAGTCTTAGGGGAAAATGAGGATACTAATATGGTCAAAATATTGTCCAGGAGAGAATAGAAAACGAGAAGAAAATATCTATCCTGACTATAGCTGAAGAGACAAAACACACATGAAAAGGCTGGGGTCATCCTCAATGTAGTAATAATACAGAAGCAAGTGAAAAAGGACAGATCTGCAAAGGGACTCAGGGCAAAGCAGTTGGAACCGGGTGGTGTATGTATTATAACAAAACAGGAAACTAATCTGGTCAAACAATGCAGGTGAAGGACAAATTTAGTTAATGCTGGCTCACTGAGGCCAGAAAAAGGACACCTCCAGGTACCCACTACCCAAAAATCTGCCACAATAAACTGTTAAGATATATAAAGAAAGAGAAGCTAAAAGAAATGCTAAATTACCAAGGGTTTGTTTTTTTTTTTGGACAAGAAAAAAAAAAAAAAAACTAAGGATACTTCCTCACAGCCAGGAAGGAATAAACATTTAGGACAAACCAGAGGTAGATCAGTATCTTATCTGAAGATGAAGCTAGGTGAAGGCTGTCTTCCAGACATAGCCTCCATTCCTGCTTTCGTTGGCAGAAAGGAAGGCCCAAAATGTCCAGAGGGAAGCTGTAGAGGACAGTGTAACCTCCAGGGACAGGGTAAAGTGGAAAATTATTATTAGCAAATCCAAAAATACAGCCATATATAGTTTGCAGTAAAAGAAAAAACAAACAAAAAACTTACTTTTTTCATATTGATGGCAAAGTCAAACAAAAAAGGAAATATGTATAATGCAAAGTGATGGAGTAATATGGAGGTATGAATGCAAGTGCTTAGGGAGCACCCTCCACCTATCCACAGGCTGGGCACTACTAGATGCCAGAAGGCAGAGTGAATGGTAAATGTTTTCTCAAACAGCATTTTGCTAAGGAAACTTTCTGGGAAAAAGTGAATCTCCAGTTTAATTCTGAAGGAGCACAGAAACATGGCTTGGCAGCAAGAATGGGCTAGAGAATTTCCCTTGGGACTCCCAAGCCTCAGGGCCACTGACCCCAAGACCTCCATTGTTTCAGTATATAGCAGTAGGGCGAGCACACATTACCAGGCACACAGATTCCTATGATTTGAGTGACAAACAGGACCATCCACTGCTCACCTTGGGATACTGACGGTGACACACTTCAGCAAGATGCAGCCCAGTGACCACTCCTAGTCTAGCTGCAAGGCGCTGGAGCAAGAGCCCCACGATGGTGGCCAACAGAAGAACCCAGAGCAACTAGAGACAAACAAAATCCCACCACGACACTCATTAGACAACTGACTTTTTTGCTGTTTGGTTGTTTGGCAGTGTGAACAGGAAACACTACATTCAGGAAAGAGCCCAGGTCAGGAGTCAAATGACCAGAGTTCTGTATCAGATTCTGCACATAGCCTGGTAGGTCTCCTTTACTTCTCTGAGCCTTAGTTTATCCCATCTGCAGTTTCTCCTTTGTTCAAGGAAACTGTGTGGAAGAAATAAAATAAAAAACCAGATGGGAAAGTAGTTTTCACCTAAGTGTCACTACCAATGAAATATCTGCATGTAGGCCGAGAGGCTGATCTCCAACAGGCAGAGTAGAAGAAAAGGATATGAGGGTGTGTTGTGTGTGTTTAAAGGAATGGGGTAGGACAAGACGTTTACCTTAAACCCAGCCACTGCACCAGACTGCAAATCAGATTCAATGTTTCCTGGATCCAGGTAGGCAATGCTCATAAGAAAGCCTGGTCCCGTGAAAGCCCAGAGTTTCCGAAAGCTAAAACAAGAGTACTATACAAAAGGAAAAGAGATCAAACTGATTATCACCTCCAAACCACTGATCTAATTTATCTACTATTTTATCACATAGAAAGCAACAATATCAGCTTCAGAAGAACAAAGGATTTAGGATGTTGGATATTGGGTGTGTCCCACTTTTACTTCCACCTTACCCACTTCTTATCAATAAAGTGGCCACTTCTCTGTTCAAATAAGAGGCCTTCCCTGACCTGCTCTTTTCCATCAGCCTCATTCTAAAACTGGAGTAACAATGTCAGCACCTCTGTGCCCAGTTGCTACCCAAGTGGGACAAAAGCCGTTGTAAAAAAAAGGAACATAAAAGTCACACTTTCTTGACTGAAAATTGCTTACTAGTATAACTTGACAACTGTTCTGAAGGCCCTCATTTTCCTTAAAAGTTTCTCTTTTTCTGATTACAAAATTCCAGTCTTCAGAGACTGCTTGCCAAAATGAGGTCTGAGGCTGCTGATTGTGAGTTGCCCCGCTGACTTTTGCCTCACAGGCTTTCTCTACGTAATATTTTCCTCTAAGAACCTATCACTAACCTCCTCCTCGGGAATGGTGATCTTCTCATCAAAGTAGGTGGTGAAGGGCTCCTCTGAGTGCCCGGTGGACTGCCGAAGAGAGGAGTTACTGTAGGCAGGGTTGATGGCACCACCGCTGATAAAGTCCCCATGGTCTTCAGAAGTATCATCTGAATAAACAGATTTGAGGAGAAAAAAANCACCCCCCATCTCCAAGCCATTCTCAAGTCTAGTTGTGGAGGGCGCAGCTCACTGGCCCATGTTGGTATTATGATCACTGTGCTCTTTCTGGCTGAGGCAGTCGGTTGCCGGCTGTTGGACAGCTGCTCATGGTGGCTCACAGCAGCCCCGCAGCAGCCCGCAGCAGCTCACACCAGCCGCCTGCCACTCACGGCAGCCCAGCTCCAGGTCAAGCCGTTGTAGCTTACTGAGGCAGCTTACCGGCCCATGTGGGAATCGAACCGGCAACCCCATTGTTCAGAGCTAGTGTTCTTACCAACTGAGCTATCCGGCAGCCCTGAATGCCTTGTAGATGCCAGGGATTTCATATACATTTACTGCAGGCCAAGACCACGCCTCTTTCTTCCTCTAAATTTCCCCAGCACCCAGCACTAGGCTTGGTCCCTGAGGGTAATACATAATGCTACCTGACCAAATGGGATGTGAGCTTTCTCAGCTCCCTCCTCACCTGTAAGCTCTGTAGAACATTGAGGAAGTCATTCATCCCCGTTAGATGCTGCACATCTTGGAAAACAGCAACAAGCAGGGTGGGGATAATGGCGATAGAGCGGGTCAGAATCACTCGGGCGAAGCGTGACCACTTCAGGTTCAGAAATCCCTGGAAGAAAACACGGAAGCAGGATGAATGTCTGGAACAGGAAACAGAAAAAGGTTTGGAGAGGTTCAGGAAAACCTTAAGGGGATTTTAGAAGTAACAACAGGGTGATTTCCTTCTCCTCTAGTCCATACCACTCTGAACAGCACATACCTCCATGACAAACTGGCCAGAATAGGTTCCTGTCATGGTGGAGCTCTGGCCTGCAGCCAGGATCCCCACCGCCCAGATGTAGAGTGTGGCAGACCCGAAGTAACATCCCAGAACAACGCCCTAGGGGAGGCAAGGGAGAAGGTACGTTGTGTCCGTGAACAGCTCAGACAACACCCCCAACAGCATTTCTCTCTCTTCTCTGCTATGCACCCACCTACACCAAGTGCTTGCTATGCTGGGCATGTCCCAGAAGCTGGAGTCAGGTCCTAACCTCATTCTAAAAGCTTTTAACCTAAACTTGCTGCATGGTCCCTCATTCCTCAGCCTAGTTCTTTCTCTTCTCTAAGCTCCAAAAGCCTTCACCCTCAACCTATATCTTAAATATTTTTTTTAAAAAGTCTACACTACATTTCCCAAATGATACTGCTTAATGCACGCTTCTGGAAGATAACAGGAGTGAAAAGAAAGGTTAAATACATTTTGGGAATGCTACATACATACATATTCTGCTCTTGGAGGTTCACAATGTAACCAGCATAAAAGGAACTGAGGCCCCAGTAAACCACACTTTTACTAGGAACGCTCTTTAATCACCTCAATTAATACCCTGTAGAACAATATATTAGATGTCNATTTCGCTGATTTTAGAGCCGTGTTCAATGTTGCAAAGGTCTCCCTAAAATTGTAAGGTTTAGAGAAATGTTTTTGAACAGCCCTCTATTTCTCCTCTCCTTTTTTCCTCCCTTCCTCTCTATAAATAAAGTCAAAGACAGCATTAAGTAGGAAAAGAACTTTCATAGAGGCAAACGGAAAAATGTCTGCATGGAAGCAACTGATGAAATAAATGAACAGGAATGTTTACGTGGACTCCCCCTTGCTTCCCTCAGACAGTGCTCAGTGCTAACTAGCAACAAGCTGGTGACAAAGTGCAAACTGCCAGATGCACAGATCAAAGCTTTAAAGAGTTGTGATTTTTTAAAAATTCCATTTGTCCTGAAGAAAACGTTAAGATTTCCAGATCCTTCTAAAACTCCCTTTTCCCTAAAGGTCTACTTTAAGGCTACAGTACTTGAGATTCCTACTAAACCATTACTATTCACTAACACCTACATTGTACAAGGCGTTCTTCAAGAAGGTGAGCTCCCACCCCTAGATGACTGGAAGTCAACAAAGCTCTGAAATATTCAAGTGGTTCAAACAGAGCTCAGCGTTTTCTGAATCCTATGTATCTTAATAAGGAAAATTACTAAGTTTTCCTTATTTTCCACATTTTAAAAAAAATGAGAAATTATTACTTCCTCTATTTTTCCATTCCAGGTTAATGAAGATGCACCATATTCTGAATCTTGCCACCAAGAACATCCATCTACTTATATTAGCTCCCAAACTCTATGTGCCCCCACTGAGGGTGAGGAGGAGCAACTTAGAAAAGCTATGCATTACCACCCCCACTTAAATCCCAATAATAACTNAACCGGGGCCCTGATGCTCAGAGCTGGGGTCCCAAGCCAACTCTTAACCAACGTGCCTCTCGACCAGCCCAAGGAAAAAATTTTTTTAAACCAACAAAATACACTAACAATTCATCCTTAGTAATACTGAAATTAAATCTTTTTAATACCCAAACTGCACAAGACCAACCAGACTGTATCTCATCTCAATTTATTTCTAATACTTCACTTTTATTTACATTTTTAATAAATTAATTTTTGAATAGGCAATCCATTCATGTGGTTGAAAATTCAAGAAATACCCCCAAGCTATGGTAACAAAGCTCCTTATCACCCTTCCCCCTCCCCCACCCTGTCACTCAGCTCTAGATCAGTTTTAACACTAATCTCACAATGGTTTTCCTACTTTCATACTTCTATTCCCACCTGGCAATTATCAGAACCATTTCATTTTCTTCTAAAAACACTGATGTCTAGAGCTCAAAATATATCATTCCCAGACTAGCCCCAATGGTAACCTAAAATTCTAACGTTTAGAAGAAAGAAATTAGGTCTAGCGGGACACACCCCACACCACCATTTGGTAGGACTGACTCAAAGAATCATCCCTGGACATTATAATACTTTCATCAGGCTTCTCAAAAAATGTGGAAGTGGCAAAAGCCTGCCACAGTTCAGGCTAAAGTCTGAAGCTGCAGGAAAACCACCCAAGCAGGAACCCTTTGCCTTCTGACTAAGGCCTGCTGTGAAGAGCTGTGATAGGAGAGCTCATCTGAGAGGGATCATATCAGTGTTTCCCTGAGTCTGGCATTGTGCAGTTAATCTTAAATACGTGGCGGGGTGGGGGTGGGGGGACAGAAGAAAAAGGGCTAATCTTCCAAAAAGATATAAAACCCAGCTTGCTGCAGCCCTCAGATGGCTATTTTAAGCCACAAAGCTCTAATCTCAGTGTTTCCAAGAAGTTCTTACAGCCTCCAATTATAAAAACAAAAGTTTGTAGGGAGCTGACCCACTTCACCTTAAGTGACCCTAAACTGATGAGAAAATTTATAAAAAAGGAATGGAAATTCTAAAAGGGAAATTTAGAATTAGGAAGGATTAGTCAAAGTAGTCAAGAATCTCTAATCAAATACACAGTATAAGGTGCTCACTCAGTATTTTACTGCTCTAATACATAGTATTTGAAATGCCATCGCAGTCAAAGCACCCTAGACGTTTTTATGACAGGTTAGTGAATAATACTGCCCTTGCAAGCATTACTGCTATAGAAACCAAACTTGTAACTAATCTTGGCTCATCTCAGAACTGGAAATAAGATATGAGGCAGGTCTCTGCGGTTATAAATCCATTTTCATTTATAGCCTAAGTCACCAGATGGTGACTTCTGAATGAAGCAGGTCTCCATGATGATACTGTTGGCTGGGGGAGAGGAGATGGGGACAATTTTTGTTGGCATAGGCAACAAGAAGGAAAATATGGTGACTTTCTATTACTGATGTAAGCCTAATTCCAAATAAAAATTAGACAGCAACACAAAACTGTAAATTACCATCTGGCATCTTCTGTTCAGTACCCCACACCATGGTGTTCTTGGAACAAGATTCTGGAAAGTAGAAAAGAGAAGGAGAGGAATTAGAAGCAACAAGTTCAGAAACTGCATTTTGTACTCTGCACGACCAAACCCTTACTATACAAAAAGAACAATTCTTCGACTGAATTCGATAACCTTGAAAATAATTAGTTTTCAGAATATGATTAAGAGATATTTAATAAAAAATATAAATTTTAACCACGCTTTTGCTGGCAAGACTTTAAAACAACATTGAAGCAAAAGGGGGGGGGGGTGACCGGTTAGCTCAGCTGGTTAGAACGTCATGCTGATAACACCAAGGTTGCTGGTTCGATCCCCATATGGGCCACTGTGAGCTGCACCCTCCTTAAAAGAGTCAACTATGCCACTGTAGCATGAAAGCAATGTGTAACCAATGACCATGGATGTTCCCCAATAAAGTTAAAAAAAAAAAAATGAAAGCAAAAAGTATTTCAGGGAAGTAGGCAAATGCTTTTAATGTGCATCCACAGAGAGGCTGGTAAGCAATCACCCACTCTCTGCCTCTGCCTCCAGGTTAACCCAAATATTTAACACCAGACTGATTTCTCTCCATTTTTATGAATTTTTAAGGACAGAGATCTATAACTGTCTTTGACCTAATTACCAATTTAAGCTTGAGGAATAGAGTGAAGAAATAAAAAAAGTCACTGTGGTCAAGCTGCTAAATTATTAACTTAAAGTAGGCTGAATAACAGAAAACAGTTATTCTTGTTTTAACTGACTCTGTGAACTTAAGCTTTTGAACTTTCCAGTCCTGTGTCAATACCTGGATGCGTATTAGTGTTTGTGCATTTACTACCTGGATATATTTAAACCTCCAGTTAACCATCTGAATCACCCCAGAAAGAAAATGTTCCAATGTCTAAACCACTAGCCATCTGATGATTACCACCTTGGACCCACTGGGGGCTAAGAATGCAGAACTTCTCAAGAATGTGCTTTTAACTATAAATCTCTCAGACTTTTCTTTCTCCTTGGGAACACTCCGGGTATTGCCTAGTAGTATTTCTGGTTTCAAACCCTAAGACCCTTGAATAAATCTTTGTCATTTATTTCTAGTCAAAGCCCCCTGACTATGAGTTTGGTCAATAAGCTCATGCATGCTTCAATTTTCTGGAAGTGGGAGGGAGTAGGGAAGCACCTCACCAGCATACTGGTGGTAGAGCGCCACTATTTCCCAGCCCCCTCTTTCCCTGAGGAGAGACGTCAGCTGTAATGTTTCAGGTCTTACTCCCCAACCCTTCAACTCTTCATCAGAAGAAACTAATGACCATGCCCTCCCCTCTTGGGATCTCATGGAGAGCTGAGGCACCAGGAAGACTGACTAGTCATGGTCTGCAGGATGCCAGCACTTCTCTGGGTCCTGCAATAAGCAACCTGCAGGGGGTGGAGGTGAGGGGTGTCTTGGATGTCCAACATTCTGTTAGGTTAAGTTTAACCTGGGAGAGGGGATATTAGTAAGCCCATTTGGCCACAGGTCTATGGTGTATTCTCCAGCCAACCCCACCAATAACACTGATTTTTAAAAATTTGATCTACTGATTAAGGAAGCTACTTCTCAGTCAATTCCAAATTTAGAAGGGGAAAGATGAGGTAACATTTATCATTACCACCCCCACTTAAATCCCAATAATAACTATCCCATTGAAAAAGTTTTAAAGCCTCCCGTTAGTTATCTTTTACTGTTTAAATAGTCTTTTCCCACTCTTGTCCCTTTGTTGCTCCTAGCTGAACAGTCCTCTATTTTCTTTAAATAATCTATCTACCAACATATTCTATACCTATCTTACAGAATGACAGAATTCAGGCCTAAAGGGGGTTTTAAGTTTCTATCTTCTGGGATATAAAACATACCACCACTTGCTAATTTGGAAAACACAATTTTTCATCTCATCAATATCAAGTATTTTGTTATAATGAACAACTAACCATGTCTCTCCTATCAGGTTTTGAGCCTCCAGGTGGCTAAACATCAGCAAACTGTCCCCAAAAAACACTAAGTCCAACCCCTCTTTCAGCCACTTACAATAGCACCTCACCTAAATGGGATTTATACTTCTGACCACGCAGAGTAGCAGTGGCCACTTGGATTCCAATCACAGTACAGCCCCTTGGCACCACCCAGAGCCTTTTTACTCTTATTTTACATATAATTCTAAGAAGCCAGGTTACCAGGTTATCCTAACCCACAATAAATTAGAAACCACAGATCAGATCTGGGGCTACGACTCTTACAGGAAAAGATCTTGGGCCACTTGATATGAGGCAAAGAGCCCTTTCTTATATTTCAATCAGCTCTAAGAACATTACTATTAAGAATATTATTGTTTTATTAATTATATAATTAATATTAAAATTAAGAATAACTCAAGTTTAAGTGTGGCCTACTCACCAAGAACTGATTAAATCAGATTTTTATAGTGTTGAATGATATCCTATTTAAGAAGACACAGAAGTGTTTAATAAATTTAAGGAAGACTCCTATCCAAAATAGGCTTCTTAAGTTATATTTACAAAGAAAACAATTGAGACAGTAGTGTGTTTTCCCCAAGCCTGTAGCGTGCAAAGGCGACAGTTAAATAATAACTTTGGAAAGAAATATGTATTTTATGATAAAATTTTCAATAATTATTAGTATTCTGATTGGCTATTCCTATACTAATTACATACAGAGCCAATAATATATGAGTCTGATCTTCTTACTGAAATCTCAGGAACGTTTGTTTGCAGAGAAAATGGATTCTTGATTCCAACTTTCTTATCAAAACTCTTATCAACAAACTACAAGCTCCATTGTTTGCAATGTATACAGAAGATAACTAGGGCAGGGAACAGAGAGGGTCCGTTATAGTTGGTGTGCTGCAAGTATTTACATCTCTGTGAAAACTTAAAACCCATATGGAAGCATTAAGTTAATATTAAGAAAAATTTTTCTCTCTAAGACCATACCACCAGGCCATTTCAATCATTTAATTACATTTAGAAAAAGATTAAGTTGAGATACAAGCAACCAGAATCAACTCAGCAATACTTTGATAATTATGATTAATACTGCTTTGATATTCTAGCTCACCTCCAACCATAAAGTAGCACCTTCTCTTATGGCCAATAAGTTTCCTCCTATCAAACAGCAATCAACAACAGAAAAAATGGCACTTGTGGTTAAATGTAATATAACTATTTCATCCCATTCCTTATCAAAAGTCGTAAGACTATTTTACAGGATAAAAAAAAGCTAATGAAATTACATTTTTCTGCCTAAGATGTCAAAAGTCTACATGTCCTTTGACCCAGCAATTCCACTTCTAAGAATGCATCCTAAAGAAACACTCACATAAGGAACTATGTGCAAGAATATTTTCCAAAGAATTGTTTATGGTATCAAAAGACTATAATATCAAAAATCCCAGATATTAGTAGGGGACTGGTTAATTAAATGATATACATTCATAGGATGGACTGCCATGCAGTTATTATAAATAAGGCAGATCTATAGGTATTGATAGGAAACAATCTCCAAGATATGTTGTCAAGTAAAAAGCCCAATTTATAGAACAGCATGCTATTATTTATGTAGCAAGAAAACAAAAACAAAAACAAAAAACACACATGTACAGACTATCTCCAAAGAACAACACACCAAAGACAGGTAATGCTGCCCCTAAAACGAATAAGTGGGGAACACAAACAAGGTCAGCTAAAAGGAAGACCTCTCACCGAATATGCATCATATACCTTTTTGTACTTAAAAACTTTTTTTTTTTTTTACCATGTGCATGTATTATTGATTTTTTTTTAACGTAAGGGTGATACAGATTCATTCAGCTTCTCAACAAACACTTCAGGGATGTTCAGTTGAACTCACTCTGATAAAGTTTCTGTAATGGATAATCAGAGATCTGCAGTTGTCCACTTGGCAGGCATATATTGCCTTACGCTTAACTTACTACTTTGTCTTAGTACCCAAACAGCCAAGCTGTGAAATTATGACTTGGGAGTTTCACCTGAATGCAAAGCATTAGAAGCCACCTCCTCAAGAAAGCATTTCCTGATGCCCCAATTTAGGTCACATGGCCCTCCTCCATGTTCTTCTCCCCAAGGCACCTGCGGCTTACCACTGTCATTAC